GAGGCAGCCTATAATTAGGCAGAAATTAAGATGATAAGGGAGGTGCTAAACTTGAAGACGAATTTGGAAGGCAGCATAATGCTTTGATAGGATAAGCAATAGGGAACGATGAAAAACTAAGTTCCATGTATGCAAAGAATAAGATGAAAAGCTGAAGAAGCATTTATGTAACAGATGTGTTCAAAATAAAATGGAAGGGGAAAAGACTAGGCAAGAGAATCTGTGAAAGTCAGCTGTTACAACTAAGGCATGAGAATTATCCTGGAATAGGGAAACATCTATAAAAGTAGTTTCCAAGTCACCAACTCAAATGATTAGGAGGTCAAAAAGATAATGTAAACAGGTAAAATACAGAACGTAAGAAAAACAATAGCACAAACATGGTGATAAACAGAATCAAGCTGGTTTCAGTATCTAGGATCAATAAGGTATGGTGATGACTGTGGCTAACTAGAGGTCCCATGTCCTATGGAGAAGGGACAGGAACTACTGAGCTACAAGTGAAAAGAATCAATCACTTAGAAATCCAAGTCCAGTGCTGCTCCCAGACTTAAGAGTTTTTCAAGAAAAGGCAGACATTTTCTATTTTTAGATAAAATGTCTGACTTTTAAAAGTTTAGCAACTAGCTCATCATTTTGATCACTGAGTGGGTTAAACCATATCAATGAGTCACAGTTGGTCTGTGGAAAGTCAGTGTGTACCCTCTGGTTTACAGGATCAGTTGGCACTTGCCAGGATGTTGTTATTAGTATTTAAAGGGTTGGTGGGGGGAGAACATTACAATAACTCACAAAGGGAAAAACAACATTACTCACCTCTGGAAGAGTTCTATACCTCAAGGGCTGCTAAAGTACCTACTCTTAGGATTATTAATATCTATAATTCCTGGGGCTCAACCTTCAGGAAGCCTAACTGAATTACTTAAATAACATTAAACATTTGATACTACTGGAGAGCATGTGATTCACTCCCAAAATCAAAACATTAAATAGGTAAAGAAGAAGGGACAAGTATATGTTTTTTCATACAGTTATAATCATCTGGGGTTACTATTACTAATAAGAAAAAAAGAGGTTGAGAAAATATTTTCCACGAAGCAAACTTGAACATCAACGTTAAAAGTTCGGTTTCTCAAAAGATGGACAGGTCTTTAAAAATACTAACTACTTTTCAAAACTTTTAAGGCATCAGTTCTTTGCTTTTTGTTTTTTTCCAATTTTACTGAGATATATTTCATATCTCATAAAATTCAGCCATTTAAATTATACTTTAAAGTGTATAATTAAAGGGTTTTTAGTATATGTATTCACATAGTTGTGCAACCATCATCAAAATCTAATTTTAGAACATTTCAACATCCCCCCAAAAAGCCTATACTCATTAACAGTCATTTTTCCATCCCAACTCCCCCTACCTCTATCCCTGCCCCAGGCTTCTCCTTTGCTTTGCAACTCAGCTAGTTCATAGCATATTTCCTTGGCACAAAATGAAAATGAAAGTTAGATTTTGATATATTATTTTAAAATGCTTTTAGAATTCTTTATGAAATCTTTTTTTTTTTTTGTTTTAATTTATAGAGGTTCCCCTTCGAATTTATTTGAAGCAGAGAATCAAAAGAATTAGCTGTTTTAGGCTCATATTTACAATATCCATGTATCATAATAAACGTATTTATTCCAATTTGACTGTAAAGATTCAAATTTCCTCAAATGATCCATTAAACTAATACATAAGCCACATAGAAAATCAGTACATCATTTTATTTTTTTCTCCCAAATTAAACATAAATACTATCATTATTTCAGAGATTCTAAGATGTACGTTTTTAAATATCTCTGAATTTAGGAAATCCTTTACAACTGATATTATGTCATAATGTAATTGGAATAATTTTTCTTTCTTAAACCTGTTGCCATCAAATTGATTCAGGCTTGTAGTGACCCTACAGGACAGAGCAGAACTGCCCCATAGGGTTTCCAAGGCTGTAATCTTTATGGAAGCAGACTGCCACATCTTTTTCCTGTGGAGCAGCTGGTGGTTTTGAACTGCTGACCTCTTGGTTAGCAGGTGAGCGCTTTATCCACTGTGCCACCAGGTACTGCATATAAATAAAGGTATATAATTGTTACAATCAATTGCATCTTAAATTTGAAATATGGTACACTGAATTTAGAAAATGTTTAATAATACTTTTACTGCAACTTGCAGGTTGAGTAAGGTTGTTATTTTTCTATTTTTAAGAGAAAATAAAAACAAATAATGGTAGTACCAATTTTCATAGTGCCACTTTTTAAAAAAGTGTAATTTATTAGATGGCTTTAATTCAACAATTTAACCACTCCATTTAAAACAGTGAGTCATATCATCAATTTACTGGGTCAAAGACAGCACTTCTTTCTTTATTTGGAGATTTTTTGTTTGTTTTAAAATATTTTAAAACCATGCTTGATATCGCTTGTTTTCTATTTTTGTAAGCAGAAAAGGCAAGCCTTAACTTGTAAAATCTTTATTTCAAATATATATATATGTACGTATGTATATACTGGCACACAATGTAAAATGTTTCTCTCTTTCTTCCTGAGAGTAGAATCACTAAAGTGTGGGGAAAAAAACAAATTTAAAACACATTTAAAAAAGAACTAAAAGACTAGATATTAGGCAGCCTTAAGAATGAGAAAGTTCCTTACATACTGATAGAGAATGATATTTGGAATATAATGTCAGGTGGAAAAGAGTGAAGTGGAGAATAGCACATAGAGCATGGTATCATTTGTGTAAGTTATACATAAAAAAGATAATACATTTGTATTTGCTCATACGTGAACAAAATATCTCAAAGAATATACTAGAAGCCAGTAAAATTGATTACATGTGGGACAGTTGCTCAGAGACAGGGGAGGAAGAAGAGTTTTCAATGCAGATCTTTTCTTTTTACATTCAAAAAATTTTAAACTATGTGAATGTATTACTTAGCCAAAATCTTAAAAGACTAACTGTTCTTAATATTTTATTTATTTAATCAGCTATGATATTACAATAATGGATCAGTTTTCAGAACATTTTTATTGTATTTACATACAAATGAAAAGACTTATATTGATAAGAGATTAGGTAAAACTCAAGAAAGAAGAAAAAAACCAAAATATTAATCCTCCAATCAAAACAGCTTTTTTAAAATATAGATTTAAAGAAGTAGGGTTGAATATTAAATAAAACATAATCGAATATCAACCGATGTAATGAAACAAAATTTTTGTCCCTTTAAGTCCAAGGATTAGTTTCAAATCAAACTAAGATATAAGTCATCATTTATCAATTTAATTTTAAAGGAATACAACTTGAGCATATTATAAATAATGCATTTTCTGATAAAAAAAGAACACGGTACAAATAATTAACTAAACAAAGGTAAATGATCATTATACATGAAATTCTAAGTATATCTTTTTTTCAAAAATAAAAAATTTAAAATCAGTCAGAAAAGTAAACATCATACCACAAATTAAATACATATATGTGTGAGTATGTGTATATATTTTTTACATATATAATGTATCTGATAACTGACGATGCAAATTTTTAAGTATTTCATGCAGTATACAATCAGACTTCAGTGGTAGAGTTATGATAATATGCAAAATTAAAAGGAAAAAGCTATAACTGGATCTCATGATAATTAGGTTTCTGTGATATTTCAAAGATTATATTAAGGAAATAGCAGAAAGGTTGCAAACATTAATGCATTACATTGATTATGTTACAAGCTGAGAAAGGAAAAGAAGCTCAAACACCATTCTGCCAGCAAAAACTGCAAAACAATCTGAAATTAGACACTGATCCTTCAAGACAGAAAATTTTCCATACTTATATCTTACAAGTATTTTAAATAATTAAGTAAAATGAAACCATCGGTAAGAAAATAGTTTTTTTTTTTTTTTTTTTTACTTTTTTTAGTAAAAATACCTATAGGAATAAAATTTCTAAAAGTTCTGTATATAAGTTTTCTTGAGGATCAGTACAAATTTCTTGCGCTAAAACAGATAAAGATAAGCTTTGAATGGGTTCGCCAGTGCATTATGTACCTATCATACTGTAGGTCTCCTAATATGATTGAAATAAGTGGTAAATATTAAGAAAATAACAGTGGAATTTATACAATACATTCTAAAATGGTTTTAATCCATTTTTCATTAAAAATTTTGTGAATCGGAAATTTATCTCATAAATTGAATAATGCAAATAAATAACTTTTTTTGCAAACAAATCATCCACTGTCATTTGAATTAGAGATAATGCCTCATTAATCTTTTATTGGCTAAATATAACTACAAAGATAACTTCCAATAGTACTTATGACTCATAATATAGGCTATGTGTACTCAAGTATATTTGTAACTGCACTGTGGATATTTTAGCATCTGTCAACAACAAGTTAATGATATGAAAAACAAAAAAAGTAATAAGCTTAGAAAGTTATTTCAGTCAATATTATAACTATCCTCTCATTATAAGATAAGTATAATTTATTGCCAAACATAATAAAACTAACATTTGTAATAGGAAACGACAAGTGTATTTAAGAAAAGAGCTAACATTATTAGTCCCTATTAATTTTAGGTACAGAAAGTGTCCGTTTCTGTAGACACATCAAGCAGATCACATCAAGGGCAAAGATAAAGTAAATTAGTTAACTGGTAATGTAAACAACAGACAGTGTTCATGGCACATAAATGGACCTACAGTAATAGTGCTGCAGAAGCTAATGATGCTTTGGGCAAAACTGGGAAAACATGAATACCATGCAGTTTTACTGAACTCACCTGACAGAGGTGTAAAACCATTCTCTAGGAGCAGAGATGCATGCACAAAAGTAAGAATATGATTGCAAGTAATAGACTTTTAACAAAATAAAAATATAACACTAAACTTCAAAATGACAAAAAATGGACAACGTGATGTGATGAGATTGTTGGGATGGAAATATTTTTATGTGCCTCACCTCTCTCTTTGCCAGCAGCACATTGGGAACAATGTGTGGCAGGCAGCGTCCCAACATTAGCATAACATTCTTTTCACTGTCTGCAATCCGAGATACCTAAAAAATCAAAGAGTTAATAAATGACAACAGTGGAGAACTTCCCGTGCATGATGGTACTTAAAGTTCATGTTTAGACCCCCTACCTCTGCTCCAAACATACATTCCAAAATTATGACTATAACGACAACAACAACCGTGCCTCCAAACAGGATAAACATTTCTGTAGGCTAGAAGTAGATTAAAAACATTAGTAACTAAGCAAACGAGGGTGAAGCAGCCAGTGAGATCTTTTAACTCCACTTCTGTACACAAGTAGGGATAGCACAGGACTAGGGCAGCCTCAATGGGGTTTCTTTTTTCCTTGAAAAGATGCTTAAAAAGCTGCAACCACTGCTTAATGCTACAGCTTGTATAATGAAGCTGGATGCTCTGGGTGGCCCAAGAAAGGAGACCCAGTACTGCAATACAAATTGCCAGAACTGCATCCAAACCATCCACTAGCTCTTTGATAATGCCAATGACACTGCAGGACAGAAGCCCATGGTGGGGTGGGGGTGGGGGAAGAGGAATTCACCACAAAACAACTAAAAAGGGAAGAGTGAGTAAAAAAAGACAGTAATTAAAAAAAAAAAAAACTCAATCTCTCAAGATGAGCCTGCAACTACGATAACAAAACACTCAAGGAAAACTAACCTGAGAATAACAACTAACAAACTCAGCAATTCAAAGACAATCACTCTCAATGAAATAAAAATAATGGAATAATTGAAATATAAACAGTGGACACTTAAATCGGCTTTCTGAATACCAAAGAGAGGCACATATATATATATATATATATCAGTATTTAAGAACAGAAAAAATCAACTACCTTCCTTAAAAGTTTAAAAGTTTAGAAAGTACTTCTTAGAACATTATTATAAACAGTAGATTTGTATTTGAAATATAGACTGATCACAACTGCTTTGGGATAGACACTAAGAAAAATGTGAAAATGTTTTGAGTAGCAAGAGTATCTGGTATAATTTACCTCTGATCCTAAACGACTATCTGCTGACATTCGACAAAAAGAGAGTAGTGCTTGGTGGAAAGCAGGTGACAATTTCCTAGGAGAAAATATTGGATGAAAAGAAGACAATACAATACCAAAGAGTCATCACTGACATTTAAGGAGCAAGCTGAATGTTACAACTCTCATTCCTGCATTAACCCTACCCACAAACGTTAACTAGATTTCTCAGCCACCAATGACTTGAAGGACACTGGAGAATTATACAGTGGAAAAAATCAGCAATAACTGCTGAACCTGAAGTAGCTTGATGTTAGATGAATGAATATCCCTTACATGTGAGTAGATCAAAGCTGAAGTTGTATATAGGTAAATGAGTACAGAAACTATTTGCATAATCTGAAATGAGGACTTTTTTCCCGCCAATTCTCTATGGTCCCAGAAATGCAAACAGTGGATGCAATGGCTGACCTGGAACACTGCTGACAGGAATCAAATTTTTTCAGATATATTATAAACTTTAATATTAAAAGCCCACATAAAAGAAGTAAAATTTAGAGATAAATGAAGAAAAGGCTCATTCAACATGCATGGTGTATTTTAAAGATAGTTTATTTTTTGCAACTGAAAATACTACCCTATTTACATTTAAATATGGAGGTTAAAGCATCAATTTGTATTTCTAAAACATAGGTCTCTGTAGTAGTGTTCATAAAATTATGCCTATGAGTTGTACTTCACTTACTCAACCTACAAAGAAAAGGCTAACACCAAAAATTACATACCCAAAAAACCAAATCCACTGCCGTCAAGTGAACTCTGATTCACAGTGACCCTATCAGGACAGAATAAAACTGCCCCACAGGGTTTCTAAGGCTGTAATCTTTACAGAAGCAGAGTGCCACATCTTTCTCCTGCAGAAAGGGCTGGTGGGTTTGAACCGTCGACCTTTTGGTTAGCAGCCAAATGCTTAACCACTGTGCCACCTGGGCTCCCAAATTTACATAATAGAGCTTATTGAGTAAACCAGATGTTAGTATACCACAGAGTGGCACTTAGTAATTTCTATTCTACAGTTACAGTGGTGTGCCAAAGCTTGTTGCATGGTTGCTCATTTACGTTCCTTCCTCCATATTCTCTCAGTAGAGGGTACCATAATCCACCCAACTGTCCAAGCCAGGAACTTCAAGTTCACCTTAATCTTTCCCTTTCTTTTAACTCCAAATCCAAGCAATCTTTTACCTCCTAAATATCTTGTGAATCTACCACCTCTTTCCACTCCTATTGCCAATGCTCCAATATAGGATGGGCCTCAATCATTTCTTACTTGGATTCTTCTAATAGATACCTATTAGTCTCCCTTCCTCCGGTCTTGCTACAACCCAATCACTTCTACCTGACAGGACCCTTTCTAAAACATACATTATGTCCCGGCTCTTTAAAATGAGTTAACACAGGCTTATATGACTTGGCTTTTGCTAGACTCTCCAACTTCATCTAGTCATTCATCTCACTTGCATTCTTTGCTTAAACCATACTAAATTCTTGTTAGTTCCCCAAATTCATCATATTCTCTTTACACATGGTCTTTGCCCTCAGTAGGATACTCTTCCTCTTATCTATATGCCTGGTTAATTTCTACTCAGTCTTCAGGTCTCAAATTAGATATCGCGACTTCAACAAAACCTTCCCTGCTCTGATGACTAGGTTAGGTGTCTTGATTATGTACTCCCAAAGCAAGCTGTACTTTTCTTACATTACTACATTTCATACCTAGTTGTAATTGCTCAATTGTCTGTCTCTCTCACAGTAGACTATAACGTTTGTGACTGAAGGGATTTCTGTATGTCTTGCTTAACCATTATATTTCTTGTAACAGAGCCTGGCATTTAGTAGGAGCTAAAAAAATTAGTTTAATAAATTTAACAATCACCTATCTCCTTAGGGTGGCTTTGCAGTATCAAAGGAGATATATGGAAGCACTCCTAAACATCAAAGAACTATTACAAATGCAGTTATTGTTGAATATAATATAGATTTCTAATGACCATATTGTATCTGTATTAGAATGAATGTGTCTTAAGAATTGGGCGATGTCTATATGAACTCTGTAACCCCCACATACCTAAAGAAAAAAATATACATAGTAGGTACACAAAAAGTAGTGGTTCATTAGTAGAAAGCTTGTCTTTAAAAAAAAAAGTCTCATTAATAATCAGTACCAATAGTCTAAAACAAATTAGACACGTTATTGTTGTTAAGAACCTTCGGAGCAGTTCCAATTCACAGTGACCCTTTGTGTAACAGAACAAAACACTGCCTGGTCCTATGCCATCCTCATAATCAATGCTATGTTTGAGCCCATTGTTGCAGCCACTGTGTCAATCCATCTCGCTAAGGGTCTTCCTCTTTTTCACTGATCCTCTACTTTACCAAACATATAACGTCCTTCTCCAGGGAATGGTCCCCCCTGATAACATGTCCCAAGTACTTAAGATGAAGTCTCGCCATCCTCCCTTCTAAGAAGCATTCTGGCTGTACTTCTTCCAAGACAGATTTGTTCATTCTTCTGCCAGTCCATGGTATATTCAATATTCTTTGCCAACATCGTAATTCAAAGGCATCTATTCTTCTTCGGTCTTCCTTATTTATCATCCAGCTTTTGCATCCATATAAGGCGACTGAAAAATACTGTGGCTTGAGTTAGGCGCACCTTAGTCTTCAAAGTGACATCTTCACTTTTTAACACATGAAAGAGGTCTTTTGCATTGATTTCTCCAATGCAATACGTGCGGTATCTTGACTGCTGTTTCCATGGGCGTTGATTATGGATCTAAGTAAAATGAAGTCCTTGACAACTTCAATCTTTTCTCCATTTATCATGATGTTGCTTATTGGTCCAGTTATGAGGATGTTTGTTTTCTTTATGCTGATGTGTAATTTATACTGAAGGTTGTGGTCTTTGATCTTCATAAGTAAGTGCTTCAAGTCCTTGTTGCTTTCAGTAAGCAAGGTTGTATCATCTGCATATCACAGGTTGTTAATGAGTCTTCCTCCAATCCCGATGCTGCATTCTTCTTCGTATAGTCCAGCTTCTCAGATTATGTGCTCAATATACAGATTGAATAAATATGGTGAAAGGATACAACCCTGACACACACCTTTCTTGATTTTAAACCACACGGTATCCCCTTGTTTTGTTCAAACAACTCCCTCTCAGTCTATGTACGGGTTCTTCATGAGCACAATTAAGAGTTCTGGAATTCTCATTCTTCACAAGGTTATCCATTATTTGCTGTGATCCACACAGTAGAATGTCTCTGAGTAGTCAACAAAACACAGGAAAACATCTTTCTGGTAATCTCTACTTTCAGCCAAGATCCATCTGACATCAGCAATGATATGCCTTATTCCATGTCCTCTTTCGAATCTGGCTTGAATTTTTGGCAGTTTCCGACTGATGTACTGCCGCAACTGTTTTTGAATGATCTTCAGCAAAATTTTACTTGCATGTGATACTAATGACATGTTTGATAAATTCCACATTCTGCTGGATCACCTTTCTTTGGGATGGGCACAAATATGATCTCTTCTAGCCAATTGGCCAGGTAGCTGTCTTACAAATTTCTTTCGATAGAAGAGTGAGCCCTTCCAACATTACATCCATTTGTTGAAACATCTCAGTTGGTATTCCATCAATTCCTAGAGCCTTGTTTTTCGCCAGTGCCTTCCGTGCAACTTAGACTTCTTCTTTCAGTAACATCGGTTCTTGATCATATGCTACCTCCTAAAATGGCTGAATGTAGACCAATTGTTTTTAGTATAGTGACTCCGTATATGCCTTCCATCTTCTTTTGATGCTTTCTGCGTCATTCGATATATTGCCCATAGAATCCTTCAATATCACAACTTGAGGCTTGATTTTTTTCTTAGTTCTTTCAGCTTAAGAAATGCCAAGTGTGTTCTTCCCTTTTGATTTTCTAACTCCAGGTCTGAAACAAATCAGTCATGATTTCCTATTATATCCTAACACTAGGTATTATATTCCTCTGCAAAATATGAGGAGGAAACAAGCCCCTATGGCTAAGAATGCACTGTATTTGTGAGGATTAAATGAGTTAGTACACATAAAGCATTTAGAACTGTCCCTGACATATAATAACCCATTGCCGTTGAATCAATTCCAACTCACAGCGACCCTACGGGACAGAGTAGAACTGCCCCATAGTTTTCTTGGCTGTAATCTTTATGGAAGCAGACTGCCACATCTTTCTCCTATGGAGCGGCTGGTGGGTTCAAACTGCTGACCTTCTGGTTAGCAGCTGAGCACTTAACCGCTACACCACTAGGACTCCTTGACACAAAATAAGAGCTCAGTAAATATTTCTTTGGTAAAATTATTTTTTTCACATTATAATCTAATAATTTTTAAATTATATTTTGTCTCCTCCACTAGAAAACAAGGACCTGTCATCTCTGAGTTCAATTTCTGAGATCCAATAAAAATTGAATAAATAAATTAAGAGCATATTAATGATACAATATTAGTAACACAAGCAGACACAGGAAATGAAACCAGGAGCAAAAACTATTCCTTTCTTTAGCACAGGCAACTATGCACATATCAAAACTTTCTTCTGAGTCTGATGATTATTCAAGAATAAAAAAAAGATAAAAAGCCCTGGGTAAAAGTGTTGAAGATACACATACCCAAGGGAAAAAAAAAAAACAACCTGATGTCGCCATGCTGCTGAGTCAATTCCAACTCACTGCAACCCTACAGCACAAAGTAGAACTGTCCCATAGGGTTTCCAGGGAGTGGCTGGTGGATTTGAACTGCTGACCTTTTGGTTAGCAGTCGTAGCTCCTAACCACTGTGCTACCAAGTCTCCAAGATACACATACTAATTATATTATTTATGAGTTTCACACTTAGCTCGGATAGAATATAATGTATTGATTATTTACTCATCTTTGACATAATTTAATTTAGTATAACTTTATAATGTGTTTTTGTGACACGTACCTTGCTATGTGGTAAGTTCACTTTAAATGTAAAAGTTTATATATCTGATTTGCAAATGTAGTTCAAATTAGAACTAAAGCTCTTCCAATTTGTCAATGTATTAAATAGCTGAATGATTCATTTTAAAATAGATAGGACACATACTAACCTATTGGGTTTATCAAACTGAACTGCATTTTTACTTGCTCGAGAAGAAGATGGCATTCCTTCCCCTTCCTTCCTAGGGAAAGAATTTGAGGAATTTTCTTTAGGAATAGTGGAGTCAACTTCATCTGATATTGAAAGACGAATATCCTTGTTTTTTTCCTTGTCTGAACTATTTACAACTGAATTCTGTCCACTGTCTTCAGAGTCTTTGTGGGAAGACTGATCCAAAGAAGGCTGAACAGAGTCACAAACCACTGGGATGGCAAAGTGTTCATTTTTGAGGATGTCCATTTCACTGTAGAAAGAAAGAGAAGTTACCAAAGAACAACTGTATTTTTTAAAACTTTGGCTAAAGTATAAACCTCAAAATGTGTTTAAAAGTTAATACATTAACAGAAGAGGATTTTGATTAATCTTTCCTGTACCATACTTATTGATGCGTCATACAAACATCTAAAAGTGCAGCCATAAACTCTTACCAATGAAGCATAAAAATGGCCTTTTAGTATAAACCCTGCTTTACATTAGTGGAGTCCTGGTGGTGCAGAGTGAAGTGTTCCATTTCTAACCAAAAGGTCAGCACTTTGAATCCACCAGCTGCTCCTTGGAAACCCTATGGGGCAGTTCTATTCTGTCCTATAGGGTCACTATGAGTCGGAATTGACGCACCGGCAATGAGTTTTACATTAGCAGTAACTACTTTTCCATTATAAGATCATAACTAATAAAAACATCAAATTTTAGCACTTAACTTCCTTTTCTTCATTTGCAAAGTAGGGATAATTCCATCTAATCCAAAGAATTATTTTAAGTATAAAATGAAATGATGAATGAAAAACTTGCACAACAGTGATGTGAAGGAGTTAATCACTGATACTGATACAACTCAGAGAAGTTAAAAGTATCTTATTCGTTGGTTCCAAGACAATGGACTGTAAAGTCACTTCCACGATTTAATAATATTTTTGGGAAAAAAAAAAATACTACTATACTAACTATATGAATTAATATATGAATCAACAATATTTGAATAAGACTTTCACTTTCAGAAATATTAAAATGTAAAAATGTGTCATTTCATTTATTTGTATTATATGCCAATTTCTTTGAAAACTTTAAGAGGTTTTTTTAGAAATAATGATCAAGCACTTACCTTTCAAGTCTTCTGATCTGCTCCATCAAGGACCATTTCTCACTATTTAATAAACTAATTTTATCTTCTAATTTCTGGACTAGCAAGGAGTTCTAAAATAAAGACAGGAGAAAAACAGAAACTGAAAATCTCATAGTATGCTTTTACATAGTTTAAATACTTTTTGTGGACTTAACCAGTTACTGATCTCTCACCTCTACAGGCTGAGGAGTTGCAAAGGTTGGAGGAGGGCCTAAAATTGGCGTAAGAGCTTCTAATTCATCCTCTTCTACTCCACTGGCCACATCCACAAGATCTTTTCCAGACACTTGATGATTTCCAAAATCTCGGTACAGTTGCAATAAATCTGGAGGTTTGGGAATGTTTAATCCTACATCATCCCACAATTCAAAATCCTAAAAGATACAAAGTAATAATATAAAATTTTAACATCTATGAGGCAATTTTCTCCTGCATTTTGAGATTCATTTTATATTCCTTATTGCTAATATTTTGAAAATCCATAATTTTGTTGTAATATCGAAGTGTATATATGTTCCAAGTGAGTAACTATCATTCTTAAACTCATTTTACATTTTCCACTGTCCAATAATCTTGTAACTTGCAGATCCACGTAAGTTTCTCGACATTCTAAGTAAACAGGTTTAATTGTCAAGATGTTGCTTATACAATGTTTTTGGGTTGTTTTTAATCTCTCAGAAATGTAAACTCTGTGCTTAGAACCAGGGGTAAAATACTGTCATCATTCAGGGGCTCCCACGATTAAGAGTGGATAAAAGAAAATAGGTGAAAACTAAAGTATCATAATGTTGTTGTTGTATGGTTGTATGTAGTCAAGCCGTTTCCGACTCATAGTGACCCTATAGGAAAGAGAAGAACTGTCCCACAGGGTTTACTAGGCTGTAAATCTTTGCAGGAGTCGACTGTCAGGTCTTTTCTCCTGTGGAGCAGTTGGTAGGTTTGAACCACCAACCTTTTGGTTAGCAGCCAAGCGCTTAACCATTGTGCCACCAGGGCTCCTGCAAGTACTATGATTAAAGTACTGTCAAGAATTCAGAGAAAGGAGTCAATTTCTATCTTCAGGTGTGGGTAAGACAAAGTTTCTGAAAAGTGATGACACGTGAACTCTCTTGGAAAAGGGTTAGGTATTTACTATGCATACGGTAATGAGAGGTTAGGAGAACTAAGTATTTCAGAGAGAGGGAGCAGAATAGCAGAGACACAAAGACCTGAAGGAGTCAGGTATATTTAGGGAGATGCAAGCCTCTTTGTTTGGCATGATTATAACAGCTAGGAGAAAGATAATGCTAGAGGGGTAGGTAGAAGAACGTTGAGAGTGCTTATAAATTTAGAATTGATAGGGAAGGCATTAAAGCAGAAAGCAAGAGAGATGTTGAACAGGGAAAACAGGGAGAGGTTAGGAAAACGGAGATACCCTTTTGTTACCAAACTTTTATTCAAAAAAAAATTTTTTTTTTTTATGGCATGTGTTTTCGGTATTGGAATGCATGTTTACTAACTGAGTGTGATTAAATTTTTGTATGGCAATATGGATATTGAGAAATATGATCTGGCAATACAATCTGCCAATGAGGTGGGTGGCATTTTGGTGCCACTGATCTGTGGTATGATAGTATGCTACTGAGAACTAGGTAGATAACTTACTGCTGGCGTCTTTTCACTAGGTTACAAGGGAAACCTCTGGTTTTCCAATATGACACAGAAAAACCAAAACAAACCCATCAGGGCTCCCTAACTACCACACAAGAAAGCCATAATTATGCTAGCAAGTCTTATCTCACAGATAAAAAGGAAAAAAAGGCAAAAGTTTACAAAGCTAACATATCCTGGAAGCATCACCTAATAGAATGCTCAACCTAAACAACGAGGCTTCAAATCAGGTGTGCTGAGCTTCACGCATTTCAAGAGGGACTAACCTTGATGCTAAATGCATTAGAACTGGAATAATGCCTTATCTCTGAGGTCCAGAGGCATAAAAAGTGGTAGGCATACCGTTTAGGCCAATAGCAATGAAAAGGTTAATAAGGTAAACCAAAAGATGCAGCGGGATAAGACAGTGACAAAGATAAAACAATTTCAAGTGACAGGATCCGAAGTGTGGCAGCGGAAGTGTGGTTATTTCCTATAATGGAGTACAGAGCAATGATGTTGGAGGCCAGAGAACTTTTGGTATTAGATAATGGGATGGAAAAAAAAAAGAAGTAGGTCCTCAGTAAAAACACAAACTCTATTCGAATTTTTAATTGTTGGTTGCTAGAATATAGAAATAGAATTGATTTTTGTTTATTGATCTTGCATCCCACAAGCTTGCTAAAATTACATAGATTTAGTAGCTTTTTTGGAGAGCCTATAGAATTCCTACCTAGATAATCATGTCATTGGTAAATATAGTTTTATTCTTCCTTTACAATAGGTATGTCTATAAAATCTATATTGTTATAACCTCACTCACTCCTGATTTTGGTCATTTGTGGGTGATGGCAATAAAACAAACCATCACTTCTTTGATTATAAGATTTTACCAGGAAAATAATAATGAGGTTCTAAAATTCATGGCTCCTATTCAGCAAGACACGCAAATTAAATTCTTACTCATTCAAAATATATTTTCTTAATTAACCAGTTATCTATTTGTCTATTATTTTAATTATTATAATGCTATTAGGAAGTTTTTAGTGGAACTGGATTTGTAAGTATATATTAATCTGTACTACCAAATTAAAAAACACACACACGTACATTTTATGAGTACAGGCAAATCTAAGCAGATTATATATTTACTGGGGAATGGTATAAAGCCACCTGGAATGAATGAAAAGTCTTCATGTAGAAAACTACAGAGAACAAAGAAATCTATAAGCCAACAGAATATTAGACTAGATGATGCCAGGTACAACTGACGTCTGTTGACTCATATAGAAAAAAAAGATTAAATGATAGTTCATAAACTCTATGCCTAGAATTGCCCTTCCTTGTCCCCTAAGTGCTCTTCTTATACTCAGCAACTAAACATCAATAGTCGCCCACTCTAGAAATAAATTTTGAGGATCCTTCCCTTTTGAATACGAGCAGCCAAAGACCAAAGACCTAAAGACACTGACGTGAAAGAGTCTACAAAGAAAAGGCCTACTCAGATCAACATACAGTGAATGTTCCATCTTAATTATGTATGGATAACTAAGGATCTTCAGAGATCTGAAGAAGTATCAAATATGAAAAATAGATACCAATAAATAAATATATAAATAAATATTTAACAGAAGAACTAGAAGATAAAGCTGAAGAATTGCTCAAAACAGAGAGAGGGGAGAAATGGCCAAGAAGGGGTAAATTCAAAGGTTAATGCATGAAGTTTAAAATGAAATAATAAGCGTTCCAGGAAGAGCAAAGAGAAAAAAGAAAAGAAAGAAAATTGTCACAGAAATATTTAAATAGTTTTCCAGAACTGAAGGATGACAGCTTCTAGATTAAAAAGATTTTTAAAAACTTAATGAAATAAGAACTACAACAATGTACATTACTGTGAAATTTCATAGTACTGGCAGTAAAGAGACAATCACAACAGCCTCTAAAAATGGAAAAAACAGGGAGGTGGGGCCAAGATGGCGGCATAGTCAGACACTTCCAGTGTCACCTCTTACAACAAAGACCCAAAAAAACAAGTGAATTGATTATATATGACAATCTAGGAGCCCTGAACATCAAAGGCAAAGTTGAGGAACCGGACTGAGTGGCAGGGGGAGGGAGAGACAGTTCGGAAGCAGTGAGGAGTTGCCAGATCTGACAAGGCGAGAGAGCCTGAGCCCTTCACCCCAGATCAGCTTGGGGGTGAGTGGCGAGGCAGTCAAGCAGCGGCGCTCGAAAGGCGTTTTCCGCACCGAGAGAGACCCTGTGGCAGAGAGTCTACTTGGCCATCCAGAACCAGTGAGAAGCAGCCCTCGATCAGCAAAAGATAAGTACTTGCGTCCAGCCTACCATGCAGATCAAAAACACCCTCCTTAGGGAAAAACCTCTCTTCCATTTACCTCCCTGCTTCCTGCTTTGCACCAGGTCCCGGACCAGCTTCAGCAACTGCTGAGTACCCTGGGGTGGAAGTAAGACCCGTCATGCGCCCTGAGCCATTCTCTTGGCCTTAGAGAGTGAATAAATTTTAAAAAAAGGGAAAAAATAATCTGCTGGTTCCCCTAAGACAGGAACCCAGGGTAAGCACAGCTCCTTTGCCTAGGCACAGGCATAAAGGCTCCAGGGATGTTGAGTGTCTTTCCCCCTGCAGAGACTTGGTGTGGGCCCATTTCTAACAGCGTAGGCCCCTCATTACAGCAGTACAACAGGATATATACCCAAAGTCTATCTTCAACTGTTTCAGCTGTGAAGTGGCAGGTTCTTGACATTTGACACTGCACTCACTGCCCATTAAGCAAGGTCTTCACCTATCCACATCAGGGGCCTGAGGACTGGTGG